GCAGACCTCTCTACCCTTCATGCAGTGAGATCGAAATAGAAATACCAACAGAAATGTCAATAATTTGACCTATATTTCTAAAATTATGATATATTAGAACATTGTTTTTCAGTTGTTTTAATCATCAAGCAATTTAAGTAAAATTTAGTCCGTGAGCATAGATTAAAGGTGGCGATGCTTAGTAGGTCTAATACTCAAGCTACTCGAGGCTAGGCTAGTAGGACATCGCTAGAGCCCTGAGTTGAGGTGCTGGAGCCAGGCTAATGCCCACCAGTCACTCACGCTGGGCAAACAAGTGAGACTCTGTATCTCAAAACATAACTATAAATAATAAAATAAATAATAATAATAAATATAAACGTAAATAATCCAATTTAAAAATTGGCTAAGGACCTTAATAGACATTTCTCAAAACAAAAAAAATAAATGGTCAACATATGTATTAAAAAATATTCAATATCAACTAATCTTCGGGAAGTCAATGTTAACGCCTACAGGTGAAATATAAACTCACCACTTAACAGCCATCTTCATCTAGTACAGATGCTCCACAGATTGAAAGAGTGTGGAGTAAAACGAGGAGTGAGTTAAAAGAAAAGAAATTGCTTTGCTCAATCAGCTTCACTCAGCAGAGAGAGGGAAACAGCAGTAAAAATTAGCTGCTAATTTAATTTTTTTTAATTTTTCTGTCATTGTACAGCAATATACAGTTGACTTTGGGTGTAAGTTAAAATGCAACATTAGAATGGGACTCTCAGCCGATTAGACTGCTGCTCACAATGATTGCTATTTAGAGATAATTTTGAAACTATTACCACAATTCTTGGGATGCAAAACATATTCCATAAAATTTGCACAGTTATCTGAAAATGCATTCGATCCACCCAACATGTGCGTGATGATCAAAAGAAGACAGCAAGTATTGGTGAGGATGTGGAGAAAAGGAAACTGTTACAAAGTGTGTTGAATGTATATAGACGCTTTATGTGAAGCTAATAAAGTTTCCTTAAAAACTTTAAAAATAGAACTACATGATGATCAGCAAGCATTACAGTTTCCCTTAGTATTCTCAGCGGATTAGATCTAGGATCCCGAACCACCAGATAGCCAGACATCTCATTTAGAATGTTCAAGTCCTCTTTTTTTATTATTATTTATAAATACTAAGAAAATAACTTATTGTACAATAATATAAAAAAAGAAAGAAGTCTTGTCATTTGCCAACGACATGGATGAACCTGGAGGACATTAGGTTAAGTGAAGTAAGGCAGGCAAATACCTTTGCAATCTAAAAATGTCAAAATCATAGAAACAGATTAAAATGGTGGTTAGAAAAGGCTAGGGGTGGGGACCTTAGAGAGATGGTCGAAAGACACAAAATTTTAGACAGAAGGAATAAATCCAAGATATCTACTGTATGTCATGGTGACTATAGTTAATAGCTATGTATTTTATGCTTGAAAATTTCTAAAAGAGTAGATATTAAGTGATCTCACCACAAAAGCAATGATAATTATGTGATGTAATGTATATTTTAAATATCTTGATTTAGCCATTCTACTATGTGTTATATATATACAAACATATCAAAACATCATGTTGTACACCATAAATATAAATAATTTTTACTTGTCAATTAAAAAGAATACATTTGTGAAGGAAGGCCAGTAATTATTTTTAATCAATTTAAAAGACAACAGATTGATCTATTCCAGTTTTGGATAAGACTGAGAAATCACAATGCACCAGACTTCTTCAACTGAATGCCGCTATAATACGTAAAATGAATTCATGAACCAGCTTTGCAAAGACTCAGAAATATAAACAGTAGCATGGATATTGGGGAGTAGGAACAGAAATTGAAGGACCATTGCCCTGGCAGTGAGTTCAACAACTTCCTCCCAAATCTTTCAGCCAGGACTCAAAGTAACTCGAAACCAAGATATGGGCATTGGGATGGATAGTAAAAGCTCTAGAGGATCCCTCTACTTCTGAATTTAAAAAAAAAAGAAAGTGAATTTCTAATCCTCAGAGAAATTATGGGACGCCTCCTGTTTTTCTTCTTCTTTTTTTCCATTCACTCATATTCCAGCCCTCGTGCAATCCTGTGGTGGTGGCAATAATGACAGCAACAGAAGCTGCCTTAGGGACCCACAGAAAGCAGAAAGAGGGAATGATACTCTCCAGGGAAACTATGGACCCAAGAGTTTGGGACAAATCTCCAACTCCCTAATTCTTTTTCTTGCTGTCTTCCCTTCCCACTTCTTGGCTCTGGATGCAGGTACAGGCATGAAACATACCCAGCAGAGAAGACTGAATAACATCTCAACATTTTTGACGATTTCTAATTTCCAGAGTTACCACATTGTGATATTCAAATTTCTTGTTTTTAATAAATAAATCTATATATCAAAAAGATACCTGCACTCATATGTTTATTGCAGCATTATTCACAATAGCAAAGATATGAAATCATTTTAAGTGCCCATCCATGAATAATTGGATAAAGAAAATGTGGTGTGTATGTACACTGAAATACTATTCAGCTATAAAAAGAATGAAATCATGTCTTTTGCAGCAATTTCGATGGAAATGGAGACCATTATCTCAACTGAAACAAGCCAGAAACATAAAGACAATTACCACATGTTCTCACTTATAAAAGGGAGCTAAACAATTTGTACACATAGATATAGGTTGTGGAATGATAAACAATGGAGACTTAGAAGGGTGAGGATGGGAGGGGTTTGGTGATGAGAATGGGTACAGAGTACATTATTCAGGTGATGTATACCCTATAAGCCCTGACTTCACGAGTATGTAAGCCATGTATGTAATAGAATTACACTTGTATCCCATAAATTTATATAAAAAATAAATTTTAGAACAGACAAAAATCTAATTATATGGCATTTATAGGAGATAGACTATTAAAATGATATAAGGAAGGGTAAGAATTTTTCATTTGTTTGTAGCTTGACAAACTGCTACTGGTATAAGGAAAAACATTAAAAATGTAGAGAGAGCATTTAACACATTAACTGCCACACTGGAAAAAAAACCAAACTTTTCCTTGGGGCCATGGTGTTTTATTACAAAAGTAGACTGAAACCTTCAAAAACAAAACAATCCTTTCTAATTGAATGAACAATTTGTTTTATTGTTTTGTGTGTGTTTGTTATATCCAACTTGAAAATTAGTTCTTGTGGCTCTCATGGTAAAGAGATGTGGGTTACATATGCTTTACAAGGCCCCGGGCTCAAAACCAACATGAGTTAAATACAGCTCACATGGCAGTTAATACGTTAAATAATACATTTAGCAAGATATCTTATTTGGTTTCTCTTAGACAAAGAAAGCATATTATTTTAAAATAACCATAGATGATCTAGAAAAATAATCAGATAGTAGTCCGCAAATAAAATGTTAATTACATAAGAAAAAAATAGATGTTTTAGAGACCTCCTATCTGACCCCATATAGTATTATACAAACAAGAAAAATGAAACCACTTAATGTAAACTAAAAAATGGCTGTAAAAATCTAACAACTAGAATTTTTTCTTTAATTCATAGGTCAAATAGTAAACCATCATTGAAATGTCAAACATTTAGAAATAATCTGCAATGTGAAAAACTTCAAGGGTACAAGGGTACAACTTCCCTAAGCCTAAACACTTTTCTTAATAATCAAAAATCACAGAAAATGAATGCTATGTAAATCATTTATAAAATTATGCTCTTCTGCATAAAGCTTTTTTCTTGCTTTTTCATATAGAATTTTCCTATAGTCTTCATGCTGTTATTGCTTTCTGCTTAGATTAATTTTCCTTAAATAAAAAGGGAGCCATGCCGGAAGTTTTCTGAAAGACAGGACTTGTGGATTATTCAAACTGCCTTTCTAAATTCCAGACGCAGAACAGAGAGTGATGAACATAACCTGAGCTCAATTTTTTATATGTAGCAGGCATTCATTCAGATTCAATATCCTAAACATCAATGGATTCCTTGGTTCTGATGTTAAGGTACTTCAACTATTGTTGAGAAACAAAAGAATTTTCCACTATAGAAGCATTGCACATAATGACATAAATCTACTGGCCTCAATTCCTTACAAGGCCTTTCACCAATTATACACATTATGCTTTTTCTTTTGAAAATATGCATTAAATCATGTTTTCTTCTGCATTTATTGTTTCTGAATAGATTTCAATAGAGAAATGGAATAGCTTTAATCTTTGTTAGTTCCCTACATCAATGTCATTCAAAAGAGGGCAGGTACTGATATTTCTGTTTAGCACAGACCTTTAAGTTCTCCTGAATCAAGTGCAGAGAGTGATCTGATAGGGAACAGTTCTTTGGCATTCCATGTGTCCATACTTGTTTGGTTATACCCAGGGAGTATGCTTTACTTAGGAGACTTTGTTTTTGTCTTATTGTTGTTGTTTTCTTTTGTTTTATATCAAGCCTTTGGTAATTCAATAAAGGCTATTTCCTGGGAATTTGGGAATGGTTGGAATTTATAGGAAGATTTTATGTCATTGACATTCTGTTAGCCTGATTACTCATCTTGTTTCCAATTTTTTTTTTTAACGCTAATGAGAATCTTATGGCTAAATTTTTGTGCATGTCAATAATTATCTCCCTAAGATAAATTCTCAAAAATAGAATTAATTGTTCAAAGATATAAGTCTTTTTAAGGCTCTTGATACACATGGCCTTAATAAATCAACTACCATGACTTTTGAACAATGCAGCAAAATTGGGGGAAGCAATACCCTGTACCCTTCAAAATCTACATATAAATTTTGACTCCCCTCAAATTTAACTACTAATAGCCTATTGTCTTACTGTTGACCAGAAGCCTTACTGATAACATGAGCAGTTGATTAACACATATTTTGTATGTTGTGTGTATTATGTACTATATTCTTACAAAAAAATACGCTAGAGGAAAGAAAATGTTACAAGAAAATCATAAGGAACAGAAAATATACTCACTATTCGTTAAGTAGAAGTGAATCATCATAAAGGGTTTCATCCTTGTCATCTTCACACTGAGTAGGCTGAGGAGGAAAAGAAAGAGGAGAGGTTGGTCTTGCTGTCTCAAGGGTGACAGAAGCAGAAAAAAATTCATTTATAAGTGGGCTCGTGCAGTTCAAACCAATGTTGTTCAAAGGCCAGCAATGTCTATGTCTTTTTATATTTACCTCAAAATCTTTAGAATTGCTCATTTCAATGGCATATATTCATTTTTAAAGTAGATATTCTATTAGACAAAATAATGTCTGACTGTTACAGATTCTATTCATTTTGGATTAAAAGGATATTAAGTAACATTCAATCTACCTAGTTCTCTAGAGCAGTCATTGCAAACTCCATAGCCTATAGCTATAAAACAGATAGTATTAATGAGTAAAATAACTCAAGGAATGTTGTGTACTATAGTAAAGTAGAACACACATGGTCCTTGTGAAATAGGGATAGTTGCTATGCAACTGATAGTGTCACTCAGCAATGAGGTCCAGCGTTGTCAGAGCTTCCAAGTGAAACTAGAAATCCAGAAATAAAATTAAAATTTGAAGTTTAAATGCCAGACTTTAAGTCGGCTTTAAAAAATATTTTGTAGATCAAACAATATTGTACAATATTGTACAATATTTGGCCTATGGCCCAGCAGATTACAACCACCAAAAATAGTCTATGCCAAATATCTACCAAATTTTTCATGAGAAGACATGCATAAATAACCTTATTATCTTAACTACATAGAAATATACTTGCTAAATTGCATTTTATTTTCTACCATCAGATTTTACAGAGTTGATATTTGCAAAGTACACATTGTATTTAATAAATTTTCTACATTTTCCACCAAATTGCTAAGGGAGGCTCAATATCTGTAGAGTAATCAGTGCAGTTCACCATATTAACAGAATAAATAAGAACCTAATGGAAAAAGTACATGAATACATCAAATATGTAAAATGCTTTAGACAGAGTACAACACCCTTTCATGATACAAACTCGTAACAAACCAGAAATAGAAAGAGGCATTCTCACTCTGAAAAAGGATATCTATAGAAAATCTGCAGCTAATATTAGACTTCATGATGAAAGACTGAATTCATTCTTCCTAAAAATCAGGAAAAAGTTATGAATATATACTTACACCACTCTTATTTCACATCTTACTATAAGTTTTAGCCAGTACAAAAAGACAAGAAAAAGAAATAACTGTCATATAGATTGGAAAAGAAGAAATAAATCTGTCCCTATTTGTAGACAGCATGATTGCCTATGCAGCACATCCCAATAAACCTTGAAAAAAACCCCAAACCCTCTCTGAACTAAGAAGGAGATTTAGAAAAGTTGCAAAATACAAGGTCAATATATAAAATCAATTCACGACTGGTCATGGTGGCTCATGCCTCTAATCCCAGTACTTTGAAACTTTCTATAAACTGGCCACAAGCCATTGGAAATCTAACATTTAGAAAGTATCTTTTACAATACACCCACCCACCCCCACCAAAACACAAAAGAAATACTTAAGTATAATCTGACAAAATATGTGTTGGATTTGTATGGTGAAACCACAAAACACTGATGAAAGAAACCAAAGACAGAATAAATGGAGAGACATACTATGTTCATTAATTGGTATAGTCAACATAGTTAAGATCAAACTTATCCTGAAATTAACACAATCTGAATCAAACTTCTCCTAGGAAGTATATAGTTATAAACAAGCTGACTCCATGATTTATAGGGAAACTCAGAGGAACTAGGATAGTTAAGACAATTTTGAAAAAGAAAAAAGCTAGAGGAGTCCCACTCTTAAAATTTAAGACTTAGTGTAAAGCTCCAGTAATCAAGGCAGTGGTATTGGCAAAAGGATAGTCACATAAACAAATAGAACATAATAGAGACTCTAAAATAGACTAAACAAATATAGTCAATTGACTTTTTTGACAGAATTCCAAAGACAATTAAATGAAGAAGTAAAAAGCTTTTCAACAAATGGTAAGGAACAATTAGATATTCACATGCAAATATTGAACACTGACATATATATATATATATACATATATATATATATATACACACATACACATATATCTTTCACATTTAATTTAAACATCAGTTGAATTTGTAGATGTATTACACATATGTGTGTGTGTGTATGTGTGTGTGTATCTCATAGAATAACGCAGGAGAAAATCTTTGGAAACATGAGATAGGCAAAGATTCATAGAAATGATACATAAGTCCATATAAAAAAAGATAAATTGGACTTCATTAAAATTTAAATACTTTTGCTTTGCTAAAGACACTAAAAGAATTAAAAACCAACCCACCCACAAACTAGAAAAAAATATTTGCAAATCACATATTTGACAAAAGGCTTATATCCAGAACACATAAAAAAATTAACAATAAGAAAACAAAGAACCCACTTTAAAAAATGGGCAAAAATCTGAACATACACTTCATCAAAGAAGCTATTCAGAAGGGAAATTAAACATATAAAAAGATGCTCAACATTATTAGCCATCAGGGAAATGCAAATAAAAACCACAAAGAAAGCATTACACACAGATTACAATGAGTAAGAAAAATAAAATCTGACAATGCCAAATGATGGCAAGGATACAGAGCAATAGAAACTCATTCCTTGCTAATGGGTATGCAAAATGGTAGAGCCACTTTTCATAAAATAGTATGGCAGTCTCTTCTATACTTAAACATACAGTTACCATAGCACATAGCAATCACACCCCTAGGTATTTGCCATAGAGAAATAAGAATTTATATTCATAATAAATCTTGTAAGTGAATATTTATAGCATCATTATTCATAATGACCAAGAAACAGAAACAATGAAATACACTTTGCTGGCAAATGTATAAACAAAAGGAAGTCAGTACTTGCCCTCTTTTGAATGACATTGATGTAGGGAACTAACAAGGATTAAAGCCGTCCATTTCTCTACTGAAGTCAATTCAAGGCAATATGACTCAGCAACGAAAGGGAATGAACTGTTGATATGTGAAAAAACATAGATGAATTTTAATTGTGGTATGCTAATGGAAAGAATTCAGTCTTGAAAGTTTGGTTACTGCATAATTCAATTCATACAAGATTCTGGAAATGGCAAAACTACTGGAACAGAAAATGGAAGAGCGTTTCCAGGATTAGAGGTGTAAGAAGATTTGACTACAAAGTGAAAAGACAGTGGATTTTCATGTGGTACAACTGTTCTAATCCTGTTTGTGGTGGTGGTTACATGGATCCATATATGTGTTAAAAAAAAAAATCACAGAACTGTACACCAAAATAGTGAATTTTACTATTTCTATACTATACTAATAGCATACCTAGTATTCTATACATACTGATAGTATATAAATTAAAATAAATCTAATTATCAAATAGCTATCCCAAATAGAATTGTATTCTTAGAAATTTTAAGAAAACTTAATTTCTATGTTACTAAAAATTTTTTATCCCAGATCTAAATCCCAATAATTATAAGTTAAAATGAAAAATAATGAATATGTAATAAAGTGATAAAATTTAGTTTTAAAATCTTGAAAGTAAAATATTTCATGTAAAATTTAGAGAGTAAAATACACATGTGGAGATATTCTTGATGTCAGTTTGTATGGCAGGAATATTCTAAAGGTATAGACACTGCTTCTCTGACATGACAAGAGACTTTTACAGATGCACTCCTGACATTATTAGAAAGAATGACATTTTATTTTTGTTTGTTTCCTGCTTTTAGCACCTATGAATTCTAATGGTAGATATGTCAAACAGATGATATTTTTATCCAGCACGCCTTTACAAAGTACATAATTTTTCCTCACATGTGATCTCAGGCTGTGCAGCTCTTTGATTTACAGTAGTGAGTTTCATGGCAGGCTGAATTAAAGCAACTTTACTCACAATTTCAGATTGGAAATATGGCAACAAGAGAGCTTTGGGTGGGTTACTGACAATTCGCCAAATTTGCTCCAAGCTGACAAGTAACAGCTAGCTTTCTCGAATGGTTCTCTTAGAGTTGTGCATAGTGTAATAGGGTTGTACTTCAAGACACACACAACTTGATTTGGATAATAAAACTCATTTATGGAGTTAAATTCTCAAAATATGCCTTGTGGAAAATGGTAGTTACCAAGGTATGATTTATAGACTCTTGGTGAAGGAGAAGATGTCACAAAATTACCATAAGAGTTCTAAAAGTGCATATATGTATACTAATCAGTGTCTGAGGACTCATTTCCAAATGCTTTTGACTAATGATGTGACATGTAATTATAAACTACACAAATTTTAAATATTACTTAATTCAAAAGAGATTTTTATTTTATTTTCCCCAGCAATGATTACTAAAATTTCAATTCCATTATTGTAAGGGTGAAAAAAATGTTTTATTTTCAAATGGGTCATTATACATAAGTTCAGAACCAATGTAGACATTGTAAATCATGACAGGCATACACTTATTATCTCAATTTGTTGCTGCTTTATAACAACAAATTAAGAAATGTGCAACATCTTTGAAGGAAGATAATGCTATTCTAGCATTGTTATATATTTCTTTTAAAAGATCTATATTGAAATTTAATTTGATTCCACTTTAAAAATACTGCTTAACAAAAACAGGGCAAACTCAATATAATTAGCTCTAAGAGCATTGGATGCTAGGATTAGCATAACACAAGATTAATGAAACAAAGAGTTGGTTCTTTGAAAAGATAAACAAATTTGATAGACCTTTAGCTAAATCAACCAGAAATAGAAAAGAAAGGACCCAAATAAGCTTAATCAGAAATGAAAAAGGAGATATTACACCTGATACCACAGAAATACAAAATATCATCTGTGAATACTATAAAAATCTCTGCACATAAGCTCAAAGACATTGAGAAAATGAACAAATTCCTGGAAATACACAATCTCTCAAGGCTCAATCAGGAAGAAATAGAACTCTTGAACAGACCAATTATAGGCAATGAAATTGAAGCAGGAACAAAAAGTCTTCCAACTAAAGAAAAAACCCAGACCAGATGGTTTCATAGCTGAAATTTATCAGACCTACAAAGGAGAATTGGTACTTATACTGAAGAAATAATTTCATAATATTGAGAAGGAAAAAATCCTCCCCAACTCATTCTACAAAGTCAGTACCACCTTGACACCAAAGCCAGGAAAGGACACAACAGAAAAAAACACAGACCAATATCCCTTATGAATATAGAGGCAAAAATCCTCAATAAAATTCTAGCAAACCGAATTCAGCAGAACATCAAAAAATAATTCACCATGACCAAGTAGGCATCATCCCAGGGATGCAAGGATGGTTCATACATAAATCCATAAAGGTGATTCACCACATAAACAGTAGTGAAAACAAAGATCAATTATCATCTCAATAGATGTAGAAAACCATTTGATAAAATTCAGCACCCTTTTCCGATAAAAATTCTTAAGAAAATAGTCATGGATGGAACATACTTCAAAATTATAAAAGCCGTATAAGACAAACCCACAGCTAACATCATGCTGAATGGAGAAAAGTTGAAAGCATTCCCACTCAGAACTGGAATGAAACAAGGATGCCCATTGTCACCACTTCTATTCAACACAGTGCTGGAAGTCCTAGCCAGAGCAATCAGGCAAGAGATGAAAATTAAGGGTATCCAAATGGGAAAAGAAGAGGTCAACCTATCCTTCTTTGCTGATGATATGATCTTATATCTAGAACATGCCAAAGATACCATCAAGGGACTCCTGGAATTGATAAATAAATTCAGCAAAGTCTCAGGCTACAAAATCAATGTACCCAAATCAGTAGCATTCCTACATACCAACAACAGTCAAGCTGAGAATCAAATCAAATAATCAATACCTTTCATAATAGCTATGAAGAAAATAAAATAACTTGGAATATATTTAACCAATGAGGTGAAAAATCTCTAAAAAGGGAATTATGAATCATGGAGGAAGGAAATTACAGTTGATATAAACAAATGGAAAAGCATACCATGGTTTTTTTCATGGATTGGTAAAATCAACATTGTTAAAATGTCCATCCTATCCAAAGTGATTCACAGATTTAATATAATCCCCATTAAAATACCAATGTCATATTTCATGGATCTAGAAAAAATAATCTATGTTTCATGTGGAACCATAAAAGAACTTGAATAGGCAAAGCAATCTTAAGCAAAAGGAACAAATCAGGAGGCAACACATTACCAAACTTCAAACTATACTACAAGGCTATAGTAAATCATCATGGTATTGGCACAAAAGTATCAACATAGACCAATGGAACAGAACAGAAAATCCAAATATAAAACCATCCACATATAGCCAGCTGATCTTTGACAAAGTAAACAACAATATACACTGGGGAAAAGAATCCCTAGTCAAGAAATGGTGCTGGGAAAATTGGATAGCCACATGCAGAAGATTGAAATAGGATACATATCTTTCACCACTTACAAAAATTATTTCATGATGGATAAAGGAGTTAAATATTAGGTATGAAACTATAAGAATTCCAGAAGAAAATGTTAGAAAACCTCTCCTAGATATTGGCATAGGCAAAGAATTTATGAACAAGACCAAAAAGGCAATCACAGCAACAATAAAAATAAATAAATGGGATTTGATTAAATTAAAAAGCTTCTGCATAGCAAAAGAAATAATTAACAGAGCAAATAGGCCACCTACAGCATGGGAGAAAAAATTCGCATGCTATACATCTGATAAAGGAGTGATGACCAGAATCTACAAATAACTCAAGCAAATCAGCAAGAAAAAAAATCAAACAACCCCATTGAAAAGTAGGCAAAAGATATTAATAGATACTTTTTGAAAGAAGATACACAAATGGCCAATAAACATTTGAAAAAATGCTCAACATCACTAATCATCAGAGAAGTGCAAATTAAAACCACAATGATATATCACCTAATCACAGTCAAAATGACCTTTATTAAAAAGTCCAAAAACAAAAGATGCTGATGTGGAGGCAGAGAGAAAGGAACACTTATACACTGCTGGTGAGACTGCAAATTAGTACAACATCTATGTAAAACAGTATGGAGATTCCTCAAAGAATCAGAAGTTGATCTCCCATTTGATCCAGCAATCCCACTTCTAGGTATTTACCCAATGTAAAAGAAATCATTTTATCAAAAAGATACCTGCCCTTGAATGTTTATGTCAGCACAATTCACAGTTGCAAAGATGTAGAATCAACCCAAATGCCCATCAGTTCATGAGTGGATTAACAAAATGTGGTATAGGTAGTGCATAGGTACTACCAAGTAGTACCATGGAGTACTACTTAGGCATACAGAAGGATGACTTAATGTCTTTTGCAACAATTTGGATGGAACTGGAGACCATCACCCTAAATGAAGTATCTAAAGAATGGAAAAGCAAACTCAACATATGCTCACTACTACTTTGGAACTAACCGATGAGCACACATGTGTATAGAGAGAAGTAAAACCCAACGAAAATCAACCAGCGGGTAGGAAACAGGAAGGTACAGGCAGGCAAAAACCTACTTAATGTGTACAATGAACAATATCTGGGTGATGGGCTCTCTTATAACCAGGACTCAAGCATTATAAAAGCAATCCATGTAACCAAAATTACTAGTACCCTGTAATACTTTGAAATAGTAAAAAATAACTACTTAAATATGATAAAGGCTATCAAAAATTCAAGACAAATATCTAAAATGGTGACACACTGAAATTATTTTAATTAAATGTAGGAAATATTAGGAATTCCTCCTATGATATTACTAATTATCATTGTCTTTAAGGCTTCAGAAAATTTAATATACCAAAAAAAGACATAAATATTTAAAGGATAGTTTTATTTCTTTTTCCTGATATTATTATACACTGGGAAAGTCCAAAAATCTTGAGAAAAAGTAGAATTCCTAAGAGAATTTCACGATGTTAAAAAATACAAGATAAATATCCAAAATTAATAGCTTTTTTATGCTCTAGTAATAAAGTCCTAAAAGTGAAAATGAAAAGGGTATTGTAATTACATTGATTATATCACTAATAGGGACAAAACCCCTCTAAAATATTAAAATACTAAGAATATCTGAATTGATATTAAATCAAAATATAATTAATAAATAATTATATATTTAAATAATTAAAATTAAATTCTTAAAATATTTACATTAAAATATTGTGTCATATTTCCACAATTATATATAAACTCAATGCAGGTCCAATGAGCATTTTGATAGATTCATTTGAAAGTATATAAAATGATTAAAGTCCACAGTGGATAGCAAATATCTTAGAAAAGATAATGAAGTTATGATGGTAAATAATTGAGAAGAGATTTGCTTACCAGGTATCAGAACTTAACTACATTCATCAAATCAGAGTGGCACAGTAATTCTCTCTTATCCACAGTTTCACTTCTTGTGATTTTAGTTGCTTGCAGTCAACCCTGAACATAAAATATTAAATGGAAATTCCTGAAATAAACAATAAGTTTTAAATTGTGCCTGTTATGAGTAGTGTGATGAAATTATCAAAACCACAAGGGGGGTTTAGCCTAGGTTCAGTTGCTTGTTGCCCAAAGATCCAATTATTATGACAAAAAGGATTGCCAAGGATGAAAGGAATTTTTAATACAACAGATTTTGTTGGAACAATGGGAGAAGCTGCCTCAAATTCATCCATTTGACTGATGGAGATCATGGGTTTTTAATGGGAGGGGCCCCGTGTCTTGGGGCAGGTTGTGGTGTGACTAACAAGTAGCTAGGAGCATTGGGAGCAGGTTGTGGGATGATGAGTCTTGGTGTCAGAAAGTCTGCCAAGAGGCCTTTAGAATCTCATTTCCTTTGTCCTGCAGAAAATCCTCCATTTCTGGGAAACAACTCAAAAGTTCAAGTAGTTAAGGGAGAGGATTATTAAAAAAAAAAAAAAAAAAAAAACATACACAGGGGTGATTGAAATGTGTTCATAGTTCATAGAGCTGGTTACTTGCACTGTCCTGCTCCATCCTGCAGGCCATGAATCCTTCGTTTGTCCAGCATATCCATGTTGTGGGCACTGTAAGTCACTGCCTGTGAGTCACTTAGTAGCTGTCTTGGTTATCAGATCTACTATCAAAGTACGAGAGTGTCCATGCTGGGGATTCATATATGCCAAAGAGTAGCTGTTAAGTATGTCCTTCAAGTGAAAAGATAAAAGTTCTCAATAACAAAAAAATCATATGCTGAGGCTGCTAAAATCTACATAAGAAAGAATCTTCTATCTGTGAAATTATGAAGAAGGAAAAAGAAATTTGAGCTAGTTTTGCTATCAGACCTCAAACTGCAAAAGTTACAGCCACAGTGAATGATAAGTGTTTAGTTAAGATGGAAAAGGCATTAAACTTGTGGGTGGAAGATGGGAACAGAAATGTGTTCCAATTGATGGCACTCGAGGTTCAGCAGCTTGTGGTTTCAGGCGTCCACTGGGGGTCTTGGAACTTGTCTCCCATAAGTGAGGGAGGGCTGCTGTTTTAGTATAGGAGCAGATTACTATATCAGACAAAGAACTCAGCATTAGATCCTTGACATAAAAAAGATCCTTTTCCACATAAAAAATGTGGAAAAAAAGGATAAATTGCCACAACTTGTTTCTTGAAGAAACAGTAAATAAATTCCATTATATATCATGCAGAAATAATTACAAATACATAAACTTAAATGCACAAAGTGCTATAATAAAAAGAAATTTCCTTCCAGAAAATTTAAAGCCTTATATGTACAATCAAAGGGTACCAGAAACCTTTTTTCGGTAAGTCTTCCTACTCCAGAAGTTCTAAAAGAAAACAACTATCTGTATCTAAAGACTACAGAAAAATTTTAGAATTTTACATGACAAAATGTTAAGATAAAAAATAGACATGGCAAACTATTAATTTGCCATGGATGTAAAGGGCTAATTTTAATAATATAATAGCATCATTACTAACTGACATGAAAATAACACTAAATAGAACAATGGGCAAAGAACCCAAAAGGGCAGATACAAAGGGTGAATCAGCATCTGAACTGATGGCCAGAATTCACCAGTGCTCAATGAGATTAAAAAATTAGAAAGTACCATGAGATCTATAACTTTTCCTGCTGATGTCAGGAAAAGGTTACTCATATAGAATACAGCAAGAAATGTAAAAAGTTATAGATTTCATATTAAAATTTAAATTATCTAGACTTCAGCTGAGAAATTTCTCTTCTGTACATCTACTCCATAAAGTTAAGCACTGAGTTGGGGAGACATTAAAAGGATATTTATTTCAGCATTGATTACAGTGAGCAAGAATTGGAACTCTCAACAAGGGTCAATGAATTGGGATACATCACAACATTGAATAGTAAGCAGCTTTGCCACAAAAAAAGAGAAGTGAGAAAAGCAAGGAGAATAAAAATTTATATGATATGATCTATTTTTTTAAAACAACTGGACTCAAAATTATATACATATGTATATATATATATGTATCTCTCTCTCTCGCTCTCTCTCTCTCTATATATATATATATATGAAATAAGTATGTCTCTTAATGAAATGGAAGAACATCACTGGAGGAGATGGAAACTCTGCTACTAATGTAAGGAAAGAAGCAAATAATTTCCAGAACAAAACAAGATAACAGGAACAATCTGTGTGTTACAGAATCTGAACATGACACACACACCTCCAGGGGCTACCACTCCCATCTAATAAATGGAGATGGCCTTCTCACTTATGTACAAATCTATGTGTTTGTGCACATATGTCTAGTACAAAGCACAAATGGATAGTCATCAAAACGTTTATGTCTTATCTTTATTCCAGGGCAGAAGATTTCAGGCCTTTGTTTCTTTATATAATATTATTTGAGTCTTCTAAATGTATATCTATCATTTATATTCTAAACAAACACACATACGAAAAAGAAAATAACAAAAAATGCAACTAATTTTATTGGGAAGTATAGAAGAAATAGCAACTACTGGCGGGTGTGGTGCCTCATGCCTGTAATCCTAGCACTCTGGGAGGCCAAGATGGGAGGATTGCTTGAGGTCAGGAGTTTGAGACCAGCCTGAGCAAGAGTGAGACCCCATCTCTACTAAAAATAGAAAGAAATTAGCTGGACAACTAAAAGTATATACATATATAAAAAAAATTAGCCATGCATAGTGGCACATGCCTGTAGTCCCAGCAATTTGGGAGGCTGAGGCAGGAGGATTGCTTGAGTCCAGGAGTTTGAGGTTGCTGCAAACTAGGCTGACACCACAGCACTCTAGCCCAGGCAACAGAGTGAGACTGTCTTAAAAAAGAAAGAAAGAAAAAGAAAAGAAATGAAATGAAATAGCAACTACTATAGTTAAATGCCCAAAATTTAGCCATTTCTTCTTTCAGCTATCAACATACTCTCAATCCCACTTAAAAATGGTTCTATTTTTCTTTTTCTGGGATTCTGAATTATGGCAACTTTCTCTAACTCTTTGGTGGTCACCCTCCTGAAAAATAGTTTTATTTAATATTTTCATGGATAAATGTTGGCATTATTTGCAATTCTACATCCAGTGTTCTAGTTTAGGAAGACAAACTCTCCGCTTATACTGCTTATATTGAAATCTATATAACAACCACCTACAAATATGAGAGGATAACTTGATATCCTTGATCTCTAATTTAGTTTTGCAATCTTGAAGCTATGGCTCTAAATGCTAAAGAGAAAATACTGATGATCATATCTGTTTGGAGAAAATATATAATTTTAGGTTAACCTTCATTGTTCATATCCATAATACCATTAGGATATTATGACTCACATCTTTATGGCTAAACAAATAACCCTTCATTAAATCTAAAGTGAGTAGTACCCTGCAATCAAGGGCTGCAAAGAGTTTATTTTCTTGGCTCTTTTTCTTGTTTTATTGCACATTTGTGGCCAGTTTTATTGTTAAAACATCTTTAGGAGATGTTATTTTAAATACAATTGATTGTAATATGGTTAAGTTATCTAGCCATTAGATCTATTTAAAAATTTTGCAGAGGAAACACTATTTTAGCAAAATTAAATAGAGAAAATTGTGGGAAAATATACAACAATAATTTATTTTGCAAAACAAAAAGCATATAACTGCTCTCTAATTACTAGCCTTTGAGGCATTTACAGCTAAATTAAAATCATCATTAGCTGTTAAGTGTGTTTGCTTTGATTAGTTCCTATTTTATGAGGTTTTAGGCAGAAGTAATTTTGTGGTATTATTAATGAATTTAATGTTAAGTAGAAAAAAACTTTTGTTGCCTGACAAGTAGCAACTCTGGAATTATGAGTTTAAATTTTATGAAAAATCAGAGGGATCCTTCCTAACACATTTTCTAGGTATTAAAATAATTATATTTTTTTAAAGTATCTTCAAAGCTAGTATAATGGAAAAAAGAAAACACTAGCCTTAGTCCCTTAACCACTATGATTCAATAACATTGTTTCAAAGTGGAAAAGCATGGAGTTTGAATACAGTCCTGTTCAAAACCATGTTTCACCACTCTGTTAATCTAGTAATTTAGCCAACCTACACTCAAAGTTCTTCATCTATAAAAATGGGAATATTAACATTTTTTCCAAAGGATAGTTTTAAAGATTAAATAAAATAGTGAATGATAAGTAGCATGGTGTCTGTGGTACATGTGCTCAGTAAGAGTTAATCTCTTTTTCCTTTCCTTTCCACATGATCTAGTGTGTCTAAAGATATTAGAAAACTAATTCCAAGCATATATCCAAAGATAAACTGAGGGATTTAGCATATTCGTGTTATTATTGCACTTGAATTTTGGAAAGAGAAATAATGTGAGTGTATGTGAGTTTCCTGTTTTAAACAGTAACAGAAAAAAGTATATTTTTAATGATTTTGTACCAAGGGGAAGATGATTCTTTAAATACCACTTTGTAATTTCTGAGGGCACATGCAAATGTATAAACCCTGTCTGTTTCATTTACCACCAAAAACCAGTGATTAAACTTAACTGCTGCATGGATCCAAGATGTTAAGAGCTACATGGAGGCAGTTGAAACAAAGAAGAAACTAAACTTAAAAAACAAAACTTAAAAAAGAGAGGTGATTAGGAGGCAGCCAAGGCTGCATCACTGCACTTACAGGGCTCCAACACCATCAAATGACTTGCCATACTCTACAAAGATAGGGTCTGTGACTCATAAATCAACCCCATATTCATCAAGTTTAATCTTCAGAAAGTTGATATCACATTGGACATTTATAGTTTATTCTAAAAATATTTCCAGTATGAGAACTTAAATCTCAATCATTGCTATGATATGGAGAAAACATAGATTTTTGTGTACAACAAGGAGATGAAATTGTGGTGTTAACAACATTCTTTCTCTTACAGTCATCTAACCTCTCTGAAATCTGTAGCATATTTAATTATAAAATCATACCTACTGCCCAAAGTTTGAACCAAAGGAAAAAGATTGTACTATTTGTATTAATATTATTTTTACCTGCTTATTTGTGGAAGAGTTAGTTACATGATTAGAAAATGACCAGAAGGAGATTATGGGTAGGAAAAAGTCTCAATATTTCATCAGAAATGTTGAACAGAAAGATGAATTGCGGTTTGTATTTAAAGTATGCATCAGGATATGAAAGGTTCTTGCAAGTTCCATAGGACCAGCACTTGTTTGCAAACTGGCCAGGGTAAAATTAATGACAGGTGGAAACCATTTTATAGCCTTGTTGGCATTCACTCTGATATGATACCACTGCCTTTTGAATGAGAAATGTTGAGAAGCAGCTCTTCATCATAAGCTCTGTACAGCTTTTACATTAAGCTGTTTTTCATAAAGTTTTTCTTAAAGTTTTCCCTTTATTTAGAAAGAAACAAGCATTTAAGCTGTTGTAGGGGCATACAGATTTGAAATGTGGTGTTCGTGTGAAAATGTGTTCCTGGGAGGATATAGTCAGTGGAGTTGATTCACATGCCATATACTACTGCTTGATAGAATTTGCTCTGGTATAACTCAAGAGCTGCAGTTGAGAAATCTCAAGTTATTAAATATTTGAGCCACAAAAGCAACTTTAATGAAAAAAAACCCAAGGATTTGGACTAGAGAGCAGCATACTTGCAATGACAAAGTTATTTTTCATCTAGGAATGCTTAAGAATAATGTTTTTTTGTTATTCTTATAGTATAGTATAGTATAGCTATGAAACCTAAATATTACTGAGATATTCCACCATTTGATTAGCAAATTCAGCATTTTCTAAATTGCAATTCATCACAAGAGCACAAGGATTAGCCTAGTGATTCTTACACAAATTCATGATATGTTTATTGCCCATTTTCATGATGGAGCATAACATTGAAATAAGATAGCAAAAAGTCACCAAATCAAAATAAATTGCATAACACTTCACAACAGATTACACCACCAACTGAGATCTAGCACCTCCAAGGAAGCACTGTTTTGTTTCTGTGCTGTGTGACACAAAGAACCAAGCAGGCTTAATTATCCATCAAGATCATGTCCTGGCCCTAGGCAATCTATATGGTGCAAACTGCTTTCACTAACAAATGCTCAATTCATACTTGCACACAAACACCCAATTCCCATTTCAAAAACTTTCCTAGAAGAAATGATTTTATTGGCAGGTAAACCTGATATTCACAGGTTGCTAGATTCAAGAAAATAAAACCTAGTTATATTAGAGCATTTCCTACAATTTCCTTGCAAAAGTTCTTTCGCTGTTAAAAGACTTAATTTTGTGAATCTATGGATAAATAGACTTGGCACTTATTGATTTAGTATAAAGTATTCTAAAATAACAAACACAAATAGTGCATTTTTAAAAATCTTTTTCTTTGATTCAAACTTTTGAAAGTAGGTATGATCATTCCTATTTTGTAACTAAGCATGCCACAGGTTTCAGAGAGGTTAAAGATTCTAAGAAGAACGTTGTAGTACCAAAATTTCATCTCTTCGCTATACACAAAAATCCATATTTGTCCATATCATAGCAATGGCTGAGATTTAGTTTTTCATGCTGGAAATACTTTATATCATCAATATTCAATATGATATAATTCTTGATGGATGTAGGGTTGATTTATGGGAGTCACAAACCCTATATTTGAGTATGGCAACAAATCCATCATTTGATGGTGGTGGAGCCACATAAATGCAGTGATGCAGCCTTGGCCACCTCCTAATTCCTTTTTTGTTTTTTCTTCTCATTTCAACTACTTCCATGTAGTTTCAACATCTGGACCCAATTCTAAAGTTTTAATAGTTTAGTAAAGTTTTAATAGAAAAGTATGGCAAATATTGTCAGTTATATGGCATTTTTAAAATCTAGAACCTAGATTTTAAAACTCTAGATTTTTGAATGGTGATATCATAATTAATTATAATTATGACTATAATGTCTAAAAAATCTTGAGTATTTCAAATCAACCAAGAAAAAAACCCTGAATTTTATTGGTTATAATGCTTAATTGATATCTCATATAAGATTTGGTTTGGCAACTCTTCAAGAGAATACTAACAGTATAAAATAAGAGAAAATTTACTGTAATTTCTTAATTTATTTCTTCCCTCTAGCTTACCATAGAAAATGATGATAACCACATGGCTTTCCTTAGCCATAAAACAAGGACTTGAAAATCAGGCCTCCTTTGGCAGTTGTTCTAAATAGTCGTCCACATGAGTAAAGAATGAACAGAAGCAAGATGTTGTGTTCTGGTGATATGGGATTTCCTAGAGATAAAATACAAATTGAAATAACATTGTGAAAATTAATCACAATAAATGGCACTACATTTTTATGGTAATCACTTCCTACCTCTGAGTAACTTTGGTATTCTTGGTTTCACTTCAGAGCCTTTCAGCTGCAGAAGGAAATTTTATCCTCAAAACTAATGTGTAATATAAAAAATTCTCATAGCAATATGTTACAGACAGAATTAGCCATGTAGACCACATATGCTAGTAACTATATATATTGGAAGATTTAGAAAAAATAATTTTAGATCATTTAGAAGTACATAAAATATAAAATTATAATGCATTCAATAATTAAATTATATTTGTTGAATTGATAAGGAGGCTTAGTCATGGTCAAATGACTATGTTTTTGCACATAATAATCAAGATTAGGTGAGTAATTTTTAAAATTAGAATTGTTTTATCTAATGCAGTTTTCTTAGCTCTATTCTTTACTAATGCAAATTATCCTGGCTAACCACTGTTGAGTTTTAAGTGATAGTTCATGTAGATTGAGATATGCCTTGTTTATCTGTAAGATTCCATATCTTAAAATAATTAGCAAGGCTAATGTAATGGTAATAGGTAACCTTGGTTTTCCATGAATCATCTCATTTTCTTTTCTCAACAATTCTCTGAGGTTGGCACTAGGACTACCAACCACATTTAAAAAGTGAGGTATCTGTGACTCAGAGATGGTTAAGTCAATTGTCAGTTTTATCAACAAATTGTAAAAGTGGGAATGAAACCATGCTGTACATTTGAAGGTACAACACCTAGCAATTAAAATTCCTATGCCTGCCTTTTATTCTTTATTTCTTTCACTTGATATTGTTTTATAATGTGATACTTTTTAAATTATAGAAAAGTAGAAAAATAAAATAACAGCCACTTATTTTATCCCTGACTCTGAGTTTACAGATACTAATATTTTGCTTCAGATTCTGTTTTTGTTGTTGCTGTTGTTTTGTTGTTTCTTTTTGGAAGTAAAATACAATAAAATAGAGCTACGTCAAGCAGCAACAGGAAATGGACAGTGTGTGGCTCTCATCTCTTGCTTCTCTGTCCTCACAGCTATGATCCTCTACGAGTTTCCTAGACTCTTTTTCCTGGACTACATCAACAAACTCACGTGCAATCTCCCTTGCTCCAGTCTGTCTTTGATCAAGTGTACTGCATATACAACTGGTACGATAATGTTCTCCAAACATTGCATTCCTCCTGTCAGCCTCCTTTTCAAAATTATACAGAGCCTCATTGTTATCTATGTTATCAAAATTTTAGCACTCAAAGCCCCATGTCACCAGGGTCTTTTTTCAAATTCTTCTCCCCTATAGACCTTTCTTTCCTATAAGGTCTGGTATCCTGTAACACCTTACAATTTCCCATGGCTTCATCTGATTTTGTGGCTGGGCTTTTGACCAAGCCCTGTTCCTGGCTTGCTTGCCAACTTTGTTAAAAATATGCTTCTTCCAGGAAGTATTGTCTACTTACCTACCTTGTTTCTCTTCTGGGTAAGGCCTTAGTATTCATGGACTTCATTTATAAAAACACCATTTTACATTATTCCTGGTTCTGATACCTGTCAGTACAAGATGGTGGCTTGGGAACATTCATATGCCTCCTGTCTCTTAAAAAGTACTACTGAAATGTACAAAAGCAAATAAACCCACAATAGCAAGAAGATAGGATTGAGGACCAACGGTGGACTAAAGCTAGTAATATAATTCTGAAAGACAAGGAACAGATGTGTGTGTGTGTGTGTGTGTGTGTGTGTGTGTGTGTGTGGTGACAGGGAAACAAAAACAAAGCAGAAATAACTGCAGAATAAACAGAGACTCTCTTTAAAAAGCGATATCTGGGGCAATTTTTCTGGGGGCTCCAGGAGAAGTCTCCGTGCAGAGTCACAGGTACTCGAAAGGGGCACAGAATGGAATAGTCATCCAGTAACATCCACAGTGGGTCAATGCCACCCACAGCCCCACAAATGTAGCATAACTGGGAGCTTGAAGTTTGTACCAGGAAAGGAAAGCTGGAGAACCATCTTCTAAACTTTATGAACCAATCTGCCTAGAGATAGCTAGAATTATAGTGAGTTTACCCTGGCAGACGGTGAGCCTTCTTATTCTGACTTGAGGTGCCTCTGCTTGCTGTCATATCCTAAAGTAAAATAAGCCAATAGTAAAATAGTCACCATGTACCCAAAGAGGCAAAGATTTTAGAGCCATAAAATAAGAAAAAACTTTTATGAACAAAGGAAAGACTGAATAATAAGAAAAGGCTTTTAGAAATTAAAAATATGACTGCCATGAATTAAAAATGTTAGTAGCATTCAGAGATAGGAATGAAGCTCTCTTTCTCTCTCGTATTTTAAACACAAAAATGCAGATTGAAAATATGAAAGGAAATTGAGTGCTGTGAGCCAAAGTTGAGTGAAAAGGGAATTGAGGGGTGCATAAAAGAAACAAGATAAAGGGCTTTAGATTAAAAGACTGCCAGAGAACTAAACAGAATGAAAAACAAAATCCATTCTTAGAAGTATTTTTGAGAAATCTTAGATCTCCAAGGATAAAGAGTAGATTCTAAAGGCTTCTGATAAGGGAAAAAAATAAAATAAAATAAAAGTTTTTATACAAAAGAATACTCACACGGACAACCAAATTCTCTTCAGCCACACTTGGTGCCGGAAGGTAATGGCGTAATGCTTCCATAGAAAGGGAAGATTCTTCTGTGTGGCCCTCACCCGAACTCCTGTCCCAGTTTATAGGATTTGTGGGACCTCATATGCGGTCAATATTTGTTAATTTGACTAAGGATATGAAGATGAATGAGAAATCCCTCCAACCAGACATAACCCTTCAGCCCTTCTACCTCTTACACCATTGCATTTGTTAGTAGGATTTTGAACAACCCACCACTGACCAGCACAGCTGGCTTCCTTCATTTGCAGAACACTTTTAAAACTTAGCAATGTACCTTGGGAATTTTTCCCTTTCATATGGAGATGGATCTCAATCTTTTTTCTCCCCAGCTTTTTTTTTTTTTTTTTTTATGTGATAGACTTCCCATACAATAGAATTCTCCCAAAGTGCACAATTCAATGATTTTTAGTATAATCACAGTTAGGGGCAACCATCACCACAGTCAATTTTAGAATGTCTTCATCACCTCAAAAAGAAACCCCATATGATTTAGCTAATAGTCCCCTAGCCCAGGTGTCCCCATACCAGCCCTAAGCAAACCCTTATCTACTTTTTGTCTCAAAAATTACCTTATTCATATGAATGGGATAATACAATATGCGGACTTCTGTGACTAGCATCTTTCAGTTAATAAAATGTTTTCAAGATTCATCCAAGTTGTAGCACATATCAGTACTCCATTTTTTATAACTGTGTAATATTCCATTATGACTGCATAATATTCCATTATATGAATATGCCACATTTTGTTTAACCATCTACCAGTTGAATGCTTAGATTGCTACTACCTTTTAGCTATTATGAATATGCTGCTCTTAACATTCATGTACAAGGTTTTGTGTGGGCATATGCTTCCTTTTTTTTTTTTATTTGGTATATAGCCTGGAAGTGGAGGAAGTGTAATTGCTAGGTCACATGGTAACTCTACATTTAATTATTTGAACAACAGCTAGACTCCTGTCCAAAGCAATTGGACCAGTTTACATTCCCATCAGCAGGGTCAGTGTGTGAGAGTTTCTATTTCTCCACATCTTTGCCAACACTTTTGGTACCTGACTTTTTGATTCTAGCCATCCCAATGGATGTGAAATGCTATCTTACTGTGGTTTTCATTTGTACTGATGAGTAATTATGTCAAGAATCTTTTAATGTGCTTATTGGTCATTTGTACATCTTCCTTAGAGAAATGTCTACTTTGATCTGTTGGCCATTTTTAAGTTGGGTTATTTCTCTTTCTATTATTGAGTTGTAAGAGTTTATATATTCTGATCTGATATTTTAGGTGATTATTATCCAGCACACTACAGCATCCAATAGTGAGGCTTTTGTTTTTCTATAATCTTACCCTATATCCTTTTCTTTCAGTTAATTTTGTGTGTGTGTGACTGCAGGGTCTCTGATATTATACCAGTCTATTTTATCAAAAATTCTGTAGATCTTTGATATTCATGAAGAACATTATCTTAAGATCATCTTGAATCCATAAGTTTCTATAGGCAGAAATGTTTAAAATCTTGACAATTTACCAAATCGCATTTCAGCATGGAGTCCTGCATTTGTTGAACATATCATCAGCCCAGCAGTTAATTGTCTATTCATGAATTTTTATTTGTCACTAGATGAGAACATTTCTAGTGGTTGGACAATGAGTGGCAATTTTATGAATTGCCTTTTAAAACTTTATGTAGCACATATATGGTAGACTCAATTATGCCATATATCAGGATAAAGAATGAACTATCAAAATCTTTTCTTGTCACTATTATCATGACATCATGGCATTCTTGAACTTTTTAGTGTTACTTTATTTGCACCACAGCAAGGCAGTTATTTATTTTTGTGGTCACTTTTCACTGACACATAGACACACATACACACACACATGCACATACATAAACTCTACTACAAAAAGTACCTTCTATATGCACGTTGAGGATTATAGAATCAAAAACTCCACAGAATTATTGGGACGTTGACTATTTAGGTTTACTCAGTCACTGTTCTCACCCCTTAAGTCATTTGCATCTGCACAGCAGCTTCACAAATTGTGCAATTCAAAATTTTCAATTGGGAAAATTATTCATTAGTACACGTCATGTGCCTTTGAATTTGCTCTGAAATACTCAAAATTATAGATGTAAAAATCTATTCAACCTAAAGATCTTCTGAATAAATGTCTACAAATAGTGAGCAATAGCACTACCTTCCTTTTCATCATTCAGGGACATTTAGTTAGAGGACCTTTTCAATGGGAGAGTGAGAAAGTTGGTGAGATTCTCAAGATCAATAGAAATAGTTGAAGGAGTTGGGTGGGAAAAGATTATCCAAAGAGATCTGAAAACTCTTCAAATAGCAAAAGTACTTCCATATGGAGAAATGATTATAGCTTGCTAGTTTAACCACAGAGGGTAGAACTAGGACAGACAAATATAACTTTTAAAGAATTCAGTTCAAGAAGTACTTTCTAAGAATTGGAACTAAACATTCTTGGAATGGGATGTCATAATAGGTAGTGAATTTTATCAACTTGGATATTTCAAGTTGAGTTTGGTTAACCACCCTTTATCAGATAATGGTGGTGGTACTGAGGAAGTGTTAGAATAGACATTCTTCCAGGTTTTTTTCATACCGCAGATTCTAGTCTAAGTTCATACATGCTATAAAACATTTAGGACTTAATTTAATAATTACTGGAGGGCTGAATGTTATTCTTTTATAATGACATTAAAATTTTAATGTAGCAAGAAATATTTAAATTTATAATTTAATCTCCTGGTTCTTTCTGACTTTAGAATGTTACTGGCAAGGGGGGCAATTCTGCTATTTGTCATTCTAGAGAAGCAAAATTGAGCTATAATTGTCTTAAAGTGTTTTCGCAAAATATAATTTTGTCATGATGTTCACCACATAATTAAATTGAGTTTTACAAAATATATAATGTACGTTAGCAGTATCAACAAATGAAATGGTGTTGTAGTCTGACATTTTGTCTTGCATACAAATAAATACACATTTCAAACTTCTAAACTGTTTTAAAATATGATAAATATAATTCACTGAAAATTGGCTCACAAAAACATAATTTTTATGAAAATTTAAAAAGTTTTATATGTAACTTAATCACTCTCTCCTTTTATATAATTTCATTTGCCTTGTATTGAATATACATATTATTACATTACTCACAAATATTAAAGGAATGGTCAATTTATTTGATCTTAGAGTTTTAGTATATATAGAATCAATAATTTAAAAATAAGAATTATCTTTAAAAAGGTTTTGCTTAGAATGCTATAATTGCGCACCTAGAAATAGATTCCAGATATTGTATTGACACTTTTAAGAATACATACCCCTTATTGGTTGAACTCAAAGTCATGTGTAACAGATGGTGTAAAAGAGGAGAGGGAAGAAGATGAATTTTTACATTTAAATCTAAATTTAATTGTAACACTTAGAAACTGCAGGAATTCAGACAAGACATACAATATCTCTGAGCTTCAGTTTCCTAAACTCTAATATGGCTATAATATTAATAGTACTCACTACATATAGTCTATGATAATTACAACAACCTTATATGGTAAGTACTATTATATCTGCATTATATATAATGAAATTTGAACAGAGTGCTGGACAAAATTTCAGGGGCTTGATCAGTCATTGCCATCACTATAGTACCATTGATTTAACATGGGTTTTAACTGCATGGGTCCACTTACATGTAAGTATTTTTCAATAAATATTTTGGGATTTTTTTTTGAGATTTGAAAACTTAAAAAATCTCCTAGTTGAACTGTGTACTGTAGAAATATTTAAAACTTTAAGAAAAAGATATATCATGAATTCATAAAATATATGTAGACACGAGTCTATTTTATTGTTTACTACTATAAAATATACACAAATCTATTATTAAAAAGTTAAAATTTATCAAAACTTATGCACATAAACACAGACCATACATGGTGCCATTCACAGTCAAGAAAAATGTAAACAAATGTACAGATGCAGCCTTAACTCATAACTACATAAAATTAACTATAGTACATACTACACCACTGTAATTATTTTGTGGCCACCTCCTGTTGCTATTGCAGTGAGCTCAACTTTTGTGAGTATTCACTTAAAAATCTATATAAAACTAATCATCTCCAGGTGAGCAGTGTGCCTTTCCAGTAAATTATGTATTGTAGTAAAAAGTGATCTCTTATAGTTCTTGCATATTTTTCATCATGTTTAGTGCAATACCATAAACCTTGAATAACACCATGGAACCACATGAAGTGCCACTAGTCATGCTTTAAGTGCTCCCAAGTAGCAAAGTGATATTATAAGAAAAAGTCGAATCATTTGATATGTACCATAGATTGAGGTCTGCAGCTGCAGTTGCCCACCATTTCAAGATAAATCCAGTGTAAGGACCATTGTATAAAAAAAGAAAATGTGTGAAGCTGTTGCTACAACTATACCAACAGGTATAGGTCTACAGCTATATCTTGCAAATTTTTGCAAAATAACCTTTTATCTCATATTGAACATGCAGCTTTTACAGTGGTATAAGATTGCTGTTAGAAAGCATCCCTATAGTCTCTAACACTATTCAAGAAAAAGCAAAGTCATTATAGGGCAACTTAAAGCAAAAGGAAGAAGAAGGATCTATAGTTTGAGAATTTAAAGCCAGCAAAGATTGGTTTGATAATAGTCAAAAGAGATTTGGCTTTAAAAAATGTCAAGATAACAGGAGAAGCAGATTTTGCCAATCAAAAGACAACAGGCAAGTTCCTAGACACCATTGAGAAAACCATTAAGGAGAGAGGATATCTGTCTGAACAGGTTTTCATACAGACAAAAGTACCTTATTCTGGGGTGGGGTGGGGGAGCCACAAGATACATTTATTGTAAGGAAGAAGCCAACACCAGGATTTAAGGCAGAAAGGGATAGCCTTACTCTATTGTTTTGTGCAAATGCAGTCAGGTTTATGATCAGAACTGCCTTTATGTATAAAGCTGCTATTCCCTGAACTTCAAAGGGAAAAGATAAATACCAACTGCCAGTCTTTTGTTTGTATAAGAAGGCCTTGGCAACTAGAATCCTTTTGCTGGGTTAGTTCTATCCATGCTTTGCCCCTGAAGTCGTGGAGTACCTTGACAGTAAGGAGTTGCCTTTTAAAGTTCTTTCCATGTTGGATAATGTTCCTGCCCCCCTAGAACTCCATGAATTCAACACTAAAAGTGTCAAGTAGTCTTCTTGCCCACAAATGCATCTTTTGTTCAGCCTCTAGATCAGGAAGTCATAAAGACTTTTAAGTCTCATTATACACAGTACTCTATATTGAGAGAATACATTGTGTGAGAATTGTCAATGCCATAGAAAAAAAACTCTGATAGAGAGAACATCATGAAAGTCTGGAAGGATTACACCATTGACAATGTCATCATTGCTATAGAAAAACCCATGAAAGCCATCAAGTCCAAATCTATAAATTCCTACTAGAGGAAACTATGTTCACATGTTGTACATGACTTTGCAGGATTTATGACAAAGCTAATCAACAATGTAATGAAAGAGATTGTGAGCATGGCAAAAACCTGGGGAGTGAAGGGTTTCAAGATATGGATCTTGGATAAATTCAAGAGCTAATAGACACTATACCAGAGGAATTAAC